ACTCAGCAAACCATCATTATTACCATCATTAACATCAAATTAAATCAAACATTACCCAGATTTAGCAATTCCATCAAACATCAATATCAATGAACTGAAATAAAATCTAACCTCTTGACAATTGAAATCATTTTCATTTACAACAACAACAGACCTAACCAATTCCTTCATAGGATGTTTTAAAACATCCCCAACAGGGAAAAACTCATCCAAAAACTCCTCCCCAACAAGCTTCCTTTTCTTTAACCTTGCTCCTCCTTCGCCTTCAACCTCAAAAGCTCCATCTTCAAACTCAGGCAACTCTTCTTCTTCCCTTCTCCCAATAACATCCTCCAACTTTTCACCTCCCCTTGACATCTTAATCTTCTCAGGATCCATCCTTATCTTCCCACCTTCACAAACTGAACTCCTCAAAGTCCCGGAGTAATGACACCTAAACCAACTGGACCCGGATCTCACGGCGGCTTTTGCGGACAAAATATCAGCTACCCTTGTAAACCCATTTCCAAAATAAGCTTCACATGACTTTAACACTACGTTTGGGGTCAAAGACCAAGGTAGATATGATGGGATGATTGGCCAGGGCTTTGACAAATATGGACCACGGTGTGGGATTATTCCTGGAAAACTCTCCGCCGTCGTGCCGCCGTAGTTCTGCGCCAGATGATGGTGTTGTTGTGGTGACTGGAGATGAAGTAAAGGTAAAGAGAGATGGAGTTTAGAGCAAATAGAGCTAAAAGGATCTTGAGAAGAGTGAGTGTTCTTGTTCATGGGTGGCTTTTTTCGTTTAATTCTTTGGGTTCTGAGATTTTAAGGATTTGGGTTTTTATGACTTTGTTTGACGACAACAAATAGCCTCTTTTGGAAAGAAAAGCCGACAGATTTGAGTTGGAGTTTTTAAGTTTTTTAGAAGTTTCGGTAGTTTATGTTACTTAAAGTGAGAGTAGGAAGCCGCCGGTCTAAAATACAATACGATATGATACGAAAATTAAAATATAATAAAATAATTTAAATTTATAATAATAATTATTTATAAATTTAATAAAATAAAATTTATAATATAAATATATTAATTATTAAGTATATAATTTCATCCAAATTGTTTGATTTTGATAATAATTTAATACAAATTTATTAATTTGAAAAATAAATAATTTACCTCAAATATTTTAATTCTACTAATAGAATTTAGAAAAAAAAATTAGAAAAAGTTATTTAGATGAATTTTGTGAAATTTTTTGTTAGAAATGATTATATAAAAATTCAAATAAAAAATAAAAATTGATATATTCAAAAATTAAGTTACATAGATTTAGTGTATAAAACTTTTTTAAAAAATTTAATGAATTTAGATATATTTTTAAAATAATTTTTTTTAGTAAAAATATTTATATAATTTTTATCATTGAATAAGTATCGATTAAATTTTAATTATAAATATTTTTAATTTTATATATTATTGATTTTCATATTAAACTTTATCATCTATTAGTTTAAATTTTTTATTAATATATTTTTTAGATAAATATTTTTATTAAAAATATTTCAAAATTTTATCATTAAATAAATATGGATCAAATTTAAATTATAAATATTTTTAATAATATTTTTCATATTATTGATTTTCACATTAAACTTTATCATCTATCAATTTATATTTTTTATTAAAATTTATTAAATCATTTAAAAAAAAAACCTTCATGAGCTTTATTTATAAACTTCATATAAATATTATTGTTTCAAAATTTATACAATTATGATACTACCCTCAAACCTAAATTTATTATATTTATTTATATTATCCCTTATTCTATATATCAATTGAATATATAATAACAAAAATTATTTATATTTAAACATTACAACTCTTTAACTTGAATTTATTTATTATAAATTATTTTCAATTTAAAATGAATAAATTTGTCATCATTATATTTTCACATATATGTTTTTTTAAATTTAACATTTATACCTTAAATCTTAAATGTTAAACTAAAACGGAATTGATAAATATCCAAATTATGATTTTTTTTTTTTCAACCAATTTTTTTTTTCATATTATATCTTTTATATTCGTTTATTTTTTAAATTGTTACATGCTAAAATAATATTACATTTTTAATATATTTATTTTATTATACGCATATTTACATATTAACATACTTATAATTGCATAAAAAAATTTAAAATTACGACTTAACATGATCTTTTTTTTTATTTTTCATATAATCGACTCTAGAGTTGTGAAATATAAAGCTTAATTTGTTATTGTTTATGCTATATCTATTTTTTTTGTTATTAATAGATTTCATATATTTTTTTAAAAAATAATTTATTATTATAAAAATTAATATATGTAAGTATTCGATGATATTGATTTTTTAGAGATAAAACAATCATTAAATTAGAATTTTATAGAATAACTAACAATTGGCTAACGAAAAGATATACTTATCTTGTGAAGTTAAAAAATTTAAAGCAAATTATTTATTTTTTAAATTAATAAACTTGTGTTAAATTATAATCAAAACTACAAAAACCTGAATTTACCTTTTGTCTTTTGATTATATTAATATTCTTTTAATTCAAAAAAAGAAGAAAAAATTAATATTTCAATCATGTAATTTTTAAAATATAAATTTATGGTTTTAATTTAAATGATTTATTTATCTTCATTAAGTAGTTGATTTTTGGTGGGATTCAATTTCAGAACATGTTAATTGTCCCTTCCTCCACATATTTTATTAGACTTTGATTTCTTTTGTACTAAATTTTTTTAATATTTTTTAAGATGAATAAATTATTATAATTAAATAAGGTTTTACAAGTTACTTATTTACTGTTTTTTATAAATAATTAAAAGTCACACATTAAAAATAAAAGGCTTTGAAAATTACTTATTTATCTATTGACAATAATTAAGGAAGAGAAATTTTTTTATTTTAAAATTCAAATTTAGGTTAAACTTTATGGTGGAGTTTGAATAGAAAAGATTTTCGTGAGCCTAATAAATTTATTGATTTGTTATTACCAAAATATTAAAAAAATAATTGATTTTTTAGATATACATTAATAAGTTATGAGCTCCATTTTTTGGTCTTAAATTCACAAATTAATAAATATATTTACGGATTTACCAACTTATATATATATATATATATATATACATTTTTACATTTTCTTTTAACTTAAAATAAAATCCATTTTTCTAATAAAAAATCAAATTAATTTTGTTGATGTCTTTTTTGGATGGTGAAATTAAACTTGTCAATTTGTTTATAGTGTAAAATATTGATAATTTATGTATTTATTTTGTGTTTTTATGTAAAAATTACGTGTCATAATTCGTATAGATGCGAAAATAATTAAATATTTTTTTATTTTATTAAACTCATATATACTTTTTACTAAAATTTTAAACCGTATCATTTTCGTATCTTTTATCTATACTGTTTTCATGTCTTGTCACTATATCATATTTTTTATTATCAAGTTTAGGTAAAAGTGAGGATTCATATCTTCATGTCATATAAAATATTAAAATTCATGTATATGTATAATATTTTTATATAAAAATTACGTATCATAATTTGTGTTGACATAAAAACGTAAAATATATTTTTTATTTTATTGAATTTATATATAATTATTACTGAAATTTTAAATTGAAAATTTAAATTATTAACTTCGTGTTTTTTTTTATATTATATTCGTATCATATCACCCTATCACATTTTAAATTATTAAATCTAGATTTAAGAAAGATTAAGTAGTTGATTGAATAAAAAAGCCAACTTTTATAAGATCAAATCAACATAATTTTTTCATTAAATTTTTTTTAATCACAGTTAGTAGTATTTTTTTTAAGTCAGTACTACAAAAATTTTATACTGCCTTTAATTTTATCACATTCATTTTATCGTCCATCCAAATAAAATTTAAGCTATATTTGGATAAATATTAATAAAGAAAAGGAAAAGAAAGAATGAAAAGAAAGTTTTTCAAAGAAAGAAAATAAATTATGTAACTCTTGTGGATAATTAAAATTAATAAAAGAAAGGAAATGAAAGAATTATAATAACCATTGTTTGTATAAAGAGTAAAAAAAAAAAGGAAATGATTCATTACAATAATTTTTTTTAATTATAACCTTTCATTGCCTAAGATTTATTAGAACACTCTTTGGATCATGATATGTTTGCTATCTGTCTGAACTTCACAATTATTGCTATATTAATGATTTTTAATCAAGTAAACAGAAGATATTTTACAAACATGCATTAATGGATTTTGAGCTAGTCTGTCATCTCATAAACTTAAAAAATATATATATCTATTTATATTCAACCATTCATCCAAATCAAATCACCAAAAAATTATAAAAAATTTTATATTGAAAGAAATATGTGAAATTTACTTAAAAAATGAAATGACTTTTTAAAGTTTTTAGTATTAATAAAACGGTAGACAATAATTTTTTTATAAAAAAAATATTTTTCAACTTTCCTTTCTCTAACTTTTCCTTCAAATTGAGATATTGAAAAAATTGAATTTACGAAAAAAATCAAAAATTATTTAGTTTCCACCTCTTTCATTTTCTTTAAATTAAAAATTTATACAAATAAGAGAATGAAAGGTTTTGTTTCCTTTACATTTTTTTTCTCATTTCTCTTCTGTCCCCTCGATCCAAACACACTATTTATAAAATTGATAACTTCATAAATTAATAAATTAAAAGATAGTACGATACACAATATGATCTGCTGAATCAATATATAACAAGTCTTTAACAAACTCGGAAGGTTCATGAAAGATATATTACATATTGGCCAACAATAGAATTAATAATTATAATTTAAATTATGATCATTTCAATTTAAAAAAATCAAGTTCGTAAAAAGGTGCATAAAATTGACTAAATTTAGTGAAACTTCATTAAAAAAAGCATAATATATAATGTATATAAAGATTATTATTAAAATATCGATGACCTTTTTTTCCATACTATTTTCCAAAATTAACCAATGAATTCTTAGACAAAACAAGAATCAGAAATCCAGGCCAAGACCAGATTCAGATCTCCAGTGCCTTGCTTTCTCAAATCCGTTTCTGTAGTTCTCAAAATCATCTATTGTTTGATCAATCTCTTCTTGAGTGTTCATCACAAATGGTCCAAATTGTACCAAAGGTTCACGCAATGGTTCACCTCCAACTAGAATGAACCTAAGCAATTTGGAGGACTTGTTCCACGCCTCTAAGCCATCCCCTGATCCTAGAAGAAGCAGATAGTGAGCAGTCACTGGCGTCGATTTCGACCGGCCGAAGACACCCTCTCCTTCCAAGACATAAACAAAGGCATTCCATGATTCCGGTACCGGTTGTTGTAGGCGTGCTCCGGACTCTAGAGTGAAGTCCAGGAACATTGTTGGGGTCCTGGTGTAGATTGGAGACTTTGTTCCTAGGGCCTCACCAGCTATTACTCTGACTTTGATTCCATCATTTGTTGCTTCTGCAATGTCCTTACTTGACATTTCCTGATACCTTGGTTCAATCCTAGTAACAAATTAAATATTAAACAAATGAGGTTTGAAAAGTAAATACGAAAATTATTATTTTATAATTCTTATTGATATGTTAAACAAAATATTTTTTATCAAATTTATGTACCATTTTTATTAATTTTAAATTATATCACATTTATATATATTTTTATATTATTTTATGTCATGTTTGAAATTATTAAATTGGGTTGAAAAGTCACCAAGAACTTTTGACAACATGTCTAGCTAGTGGAACAAGCATTAACCCAATGCATCATTATAGATGCTTTCTTCAAAATGGGGCTCAAACGAAAGGCACATTCTAAAAGCTGACCATATCCAGCAAGATATGCAGGTACAAGGCAATTCAATGTGTGCTGCATTCAAAAACACTCTCAAGAAAGATCTATAATTACAAATCATTGTCGTACTTTTTTTTTTTTCAACAAATACGTTGCCATATTGAGAATAAGAGAACAAATTGTAAATATTAAAATTTAAATTTATTTAAATATTAAATTTTAAAAGTATATATACGAATCAATCGGATTAAAATCTAAATTTATTGCAATAGTAGTCCAATTATTTGAAATAAACTATTTTAATAAGACAAACTCTACTTGCATGATAAATCTTGAATACCATAAAATTTGTAAATCTCTATGAGTTGAACTTACATTTTATTTTTGGAGGACAGGTTAATCCAAAGCTGTAGACCCTTTTGGGTTCCCTGTGATGCAGGCATCTCTGAGTGAACGATACCTCTTCCTGCAGTCATCCATTGTAGATCACCAGGTCCAATGGTCCCCTTATGCCCATCAAAGTCTTCATGTATGACTGTTCCCTGATGAATCAGCCAATTGCGTAGAGCCAAGGTAAGTTTCATAAAGCTTTTAACCTTATTAAAAGTCCACACCTCTACAATTTTTAACAAATACAAACAAATAAAGCAATTCCAATATACAATTTCATTTGACCAATATTGTAAAGGCCATGTCTAACTTTGATAACTACTAAATTATCACAAACAACGTTTCAGAGTTCATTAAACAAACAAACAGATTATAAACATATTAAAATTCATTTATATTCGATTCGTTTAAACCCTTTGCCACTGTCAACTCCCTATTTGTCATGGCTGGTACGACTTAAAAGACAATTTCATTCTAGCCTTCAAGTGCAACTAGGTGAGCCATCTGTTGCTTTCTTTTCAGTTAAACAATCACATCTATTTGAACTTTTTGTGCATAATTAATCTTGATAGTTGAATTATGATTATTAGATAGACAATGGATAGCTTGTAAATGTACATAAACACAAAATTTTCTCTTTATTTTCGATGAAAGAAAATTAAAATCAAGAGACAGAGGAAATGGAAATGGTAAAATAAGTTTGACAAGTTCATAATTGACAAAACAGAGATTCCTTGAGTGATCAGTTCTGTACCTGTAGCATGTAGGTGACTGTCTCAAATCCTGTTAACAGAGAACATAGAGAATAATCAAAATATTTTCACATCCACATAATCGGAGCCGATGTTCTAGAGAAAAAAAACACGAAGGTACGAAACGGAACAAGACGAATCAAACCTCTGTGTGGATGATCAGGAAATCCAGCAGGTGCTGTAACTGCAATATCAAACATCAAAACACTATCAGAAATGAAAAACAGAGCAAAAAACAGAGTAAAGAAAACAGAGACACCAACCTGAAAATTCATCCAAAACAAGGAAAGGATCAAAGTATCTCAACTCAAATCTGCATTAAAAAAGATACCCTTTATTCTAAGCACCTCAAATTCATCAAAATTTCATTCATTTTAATGAAAAAAACACCAAATTTATCAAACTTTCCAGCTCGCTTACCGGCCTATGCTTCTTCTTACTATTGCTCCAAGTCCTTCATGTTGTGGCCTAGCCAAAAACTTTCTCACCACCAATCGTGGGTCATTCAAACCAACACGAGACTTCTCTTTCTCAGGCATTTTTCTTTTGTATGTTTGTCACAAGTTTGTGAAGAAAAGCTGAAGAATTTGAATGAATATATAAAGAGAAACTTTGATAGAGAAAGAGAGAGAAAAAATGAGACCTATCATTTTAAATCACAAAATGACGACGCAACACAATCATGAAATTAAAAAAAAAAAAAAAGAATGTAATAAAGTTTAAAATTTTAAGAAAAGTTATATATAAATATAGTAAAAATAAATAAATATATTATATATTTTTTTATCAATACAAATTATGATATATCATTTTTATATAAATATATAAATTAATAATATTTTATAAACCTAACATTTTTATATTCATATTATATAAAATATTAAAATTTATGTATTCAAATTATGTTTTATATAAAAATTATATATTATTTTTATATAATTATGAAAATATAAAATTTATTTTTTTTAATTTTGTTAAGTTTATATGTATTTATTGTTAAATTTTTAAATTGTATATTTTAAAATTTCTTATTTATATTATATTATTTTATTATATTTTAAATTATTAAATTTAAATTTTTTTATATAATATGTATGTACGAATTTTTAAATTATAAAAAAAAAATTGATGGTAATATTTTGGAAGGTCAGAGGAGAAGCGTAGGCGGCCGAATAAGACCCACATGGGAGTTTCCGTCAGCTGAAACGAGTGGCTTCAATCATGCCTTCATAGCGTGTTTTGAAAAACGTCAGCATAGCGTTGCCATGATGTGGGATGATAGAACTTTGGATGACATCCATGATTTTGGACACGTGTCAATTTAGTGTCCATTTGATGAGATTACTTGACCAAAATGGACTTCAAGAGATCCAGCATCTATGATATCCGGAAGCACCCAGATTTGGTTGGACAATTTAAAGTTCAAACCGGACACGAGAATTATACAAATAAAAAATTAAAAAATAATATAATTTAAATTTTAATAAATATTATAAATAAATTTAAATATATATTTTATATTTTTATGTCAATACAAATTATGATATATAAATTTTATATAAAATATAATATAAATATATAAATATTTAATTTTTTCACTATACAAATATATAAATTATTAAATTTAATTTAAAATATAATTATTCGTCCAGAAATACGATGGGACGGATATTCTCTTCCATATTGGTTTTTCAAAGTATAGGCATCGGCAAGTTTTATACTTTGCCTTATTCACCCTGCCAAAAGGAATAAGTTGGTCCCAATTACCTGTCATTTTTTAGCTTTTCAATTTCAGAACCCTTTAACTTTGTGAATCGTTTATTAGGTTTGATTTCTAAGTACTAAATTTGTCTATGGATGGAGTCGAATCAGATTCATCAATTTTTTTAAAGTTTTGTTTAAAATTGATTTGACTCTTCAAGATTTAAAAGGTTCAATTTAAAATAAAAAAATTTATTTTAAATTAAAATTTGTTAATAATTTAATATTTAAAATAATGTTCGAATTCAAAATTTTTTATTTAAAATTCAACTCGAAACAAGTTCACATGAATAAATCAAATCATTTTATATTGAATTTAAATTACATAAAAAAAATTATTTTTTTATCTCATAAGGGTGCATTTAGACATAATGATAAGAATATTTTCTAAATCTTTTACCTTCTTTATTGAACTAAATAAGTAATAAATAATTAAAAGCTTTCATGTGAGTTGTTCATAACTAAATATAACTATGCATTCTTTCAAACAACTTAATTATTTTAATAAGAAATATTTCATTAATCCAAAAGAGAATCAAGGGTTTTTATTTTAATTTGAGTTAATCATGTATTCATGTGATTCAATTTGAAGACCAACAAGACTTTATCTATCATGCTAGCTGTTTGTTGCATTATTAAAACCAAAAAAAAAAAAAAAAGGCTTATGAAAAGAAGTGTGCTCATCATCTATCCTTCTTTTTTAGTCATCTCAACCTTTAAAGTTTGTAATTGTCCTTGCCAAATTGAAGGTGTATTACATGAAAACAACTGGCAAACACAACTTTGTTTTACTATAAATAGAATAGTATAGTTTTTTTTTTTTTTTTATTAATTTTGTATACACTTTGTGATTTTTTTCACTTATACCTTTGGTGAAAATTTTTTTCTCACTTATAATTTTGTGATTCACTTTTATCACCATATAAGATAATAATGATAAAAAGTAATGATGAGGATAATTTTGTAATTTTACTAAATTTTAATTTTTAATATCGTTATTTTTTAATATTAAAAGTGAATCACGTAGTTTTTTTTTTGTTTTTTTGTTTAGTCAATGTAGTTTTGTTGAAGGTGGAAGAATATGATATAGTTAGCTAGCCAAAAATATCTAAGCTGATCACATCAATATTTAATATCAACTGCTTTTGTAGGGCATCAAGAAACTGAAATTTTTTCACAAGCTCAATAATTCAAATGAACAAATGACAATTTTGGATTAAGACAAATTTAATGTGGAAATATGGAACTTTTGTTCACTCTTTTGAAACCACAATCACTCGATCATAGGGTCTTAATCTTGCTTGTTTTTCAATCAAATTGTTGTGTTGAATATGATGTTACGCGCTACATTGATATATTCAACAAGTTTATAATTTTAATCGATAGATTCAGATAATTTTTAAAATTTTATTGTGATAAAGATAGATTATTATAATTGTTAATTTTTAATGAAAAATTTTGAATTCATTTAATTTATATAATTATTTTTAAAAATAATATTTAATAAATTTAAATTTAAATTTTAATATCTATAATTTTTTATCATATCTTTATATTATCATCTCTTTTGTAATATATATATATATATATATATATTAGTTATGTCAATTTGAATAGATGTTAACATATACAATAAAAATGGAAAATGATTGATTTTTTTTTTAAATTAGGAAAATGATAATAAATACTTTCTAGAAAGAAATAAATGGAGGGCATCTTTTTTGTAAAATCTCCTATTGATTATTTCTCGAAGAAAGGTACATGACCTAAACTAAAAGCCACTCATTGTACTAAACCAAAAACGAAGCATCAAAATCATCTAATCAATGACCATTAAAAACTAATTTAATTGCATTATTATGATTTTTTTTTTGTGAAATTCTTAATTTACTTTTTCATACCTTATTATTTACTTGAAAAATATTATAAATATAATTTTTTTTAAATTCGTAATCTTCAAATGATAACATTAATGACATATTAACTTATTAAAAAAAATCAGTAATCGCATGATTATGATTAACCATGAAAATTAAGCTCATGAGATTTCATGATAGGGCCATTTCCATTGTGTTGGCCAATAGATTTGGTTGGGGGAGGGGTCCATAGGAATTTGTGGACCCATTTTGTGTGGTATTTTGGTGGTCTTAAAATCCAATGACATCATTGAAACAAAAGCATGACACAAGGACAAATCTCCTTTGAGTTTTTTTTTTTTTTTTTTTTTTTTATAATTTAAAAATAAAACCAAAGCCAAGTCAAAAGCTTATTGTAAGAAAAAGACCTTATTTTAAACTTGAAAGCATATGTCTGTCAAGCAACAAAGCAACGTGTAGACTTTGGAATCATTTAATCTTCAAACATCAATTTAAAACGACATGTTTCACAATGATGATTTGGGATTACAAAATGATGATGTTATTAATTTTTTAAGTTTATTTGAATTTCATCGCATCAAAATTATTATTAAAGTCTGGTTTAATATTATTTTTGAAAATAATTTTTATGTTCAAAAACAGTTTCGATTTAATCGTAATGTTAAAAAATAATTTTTTTTTTAATTTAAAAGTTTGATTTACGAATTAAAATAAAAAAATTTTCCCAAAAAATATTTTCACAATTTATTGGAAGGGAAGGATCTAAAGAATAAATACTAAAGAAAAAGATGACAAAGGAATGATAGATGAAATAGAAGGTTGCGAGATTATTAAAACTAAAAGTATTATAGCTTAAGTGCCTTTAAGATCATCCGTGAAGAAGATTAAATTTAGATTAAGTCTAGTGATATTAAAAAAATGAAAGTACTATACTTTAATTTCACAATTTGATTAGTGGGGTTTTGCAGTAGAAAACAGTTAAAATATGGGTGGCAATGGGAAAATTTTCTTGATTCAAGACGAAGGATATTGTTGTCCTTAAGCAACACCTTAAGCATTAAAGCATGAAGATAAAGTGAGAAAATAATTGAGAAAATTAAAAATTAATTTGAAATCGTAATAGTCGATTTAATTTGATTTGAATCGTTTATTTTTTATTTGATTTAAATTAAATTTAGATATTAAATATATATTTAGTTCAAATCAAATGAAAAAAAATTAAAAATATTAAAAATCGATCGAAATCATAATATTCGGTTCGATTTAGTTTAGATCATTTTTTTTATTCGGTTCAAATATTAAATGTATATATTAAGTTTGAATCAGATTTTGAATCGAAATGTGAAAAATTAAAAAAAAAAAAAATCAAATCAAATTATATATTTTTATTTATATTTATATATATTTTAAATTTTTATAAGATAAAATTAATTATTGTATATATAAATCTATTTAAATATATTAAAAATCATATTAAAATAGTATATAAAAAATTTAAAAACTAATAATTCAAATCGAACTAAACTTATAAATTTTAATTCAAATCAAATCAATTTCAAAAGAAAATCGATTTGGTTTCGAATCAAATTTTAACATTTCGATATATTATTATGAATTATACGAAAAAATTGAACCAAATTCATTTTAATTTATATTGTTATCACCCCTACACAAAAGAAAGATCAATGGGTTATAGATGCATTTTCTGGTAAGACAAATAGTTGTGTTGTGATGCGGACCGAATGGTTGATTTGGCAACGAAGATGATTTATTACAAAACGAACGATCAGGGGCATCAAAAGTTAAGACTCCAAGATGCGATTTCAACACTCAAGTCAATAACGTGCAAGAAATGAGAAAAGAAGAATGCAAGGAAAGAAAGTAGATTACAGAAAGCAAAAGACTTTTTGAGAATGAATTTATCTATGATCTAACCTCATTTTATATTACTAAACTTGTACTTAGATGACTAATTAACTTATAC